TTCGTGCTCGAACAAGAACTCGGAATGAGGTTATAGGGTCCACAGAGTGACCAGCGTCCAGCAAGTGTTCCGTAATGGAGGAACGGGGGGATCGGTTTTCTTGCTTGAATAACCAACTAGGCAGGTGTTCCTTGGCTCTGGCTGCCAATTGCCTTTGCGCATCTTTCGCTACCTGGAGGTAGCCTTTATAAGACGCTCTAAACCGGACCTATGCAAACAATTAGAGCATGTGGTTAACCTAGCCTTGCCTTGGTAACAGCAGGCTCCCAGATTTGCACATTCCCCTGTCCCCCTTTTTCCCGTAACTTATTTTCCTCCGTTTCTCCTTCCTCCTTGTTTTAACCTTCTTACTTTACCAATTAGCCTTAGTGACTATGACCTCTGCCCTTTCTGTACCAATTCAATTTCGTATTTTTATCATTCGTTATCCTTCCACGCATTGGAGTGGCTGCAACTGATGTGCGCTCCCGAAATGTTATGCATCCAATAAATTTTGCACTGTCTGCTGCATACAAATTGTCGCAAGGGAAATTATGCTTTAAAACTTATATTGGTCGCCCGCCTTACATACCCCTAGTCCTGTGGTTATTTTAATTTTACTTTAGTTTAATTTTTATTTTAATTAGACACCACCAACATTAGATAGATACACTTAGATAACTAATATATACTAAACTAAACTAAGCTTAACTTAACAAAAACAAAAACGGAACTACACTAAAACTAAAAGTGAACTAATGAACTAAATCATAAACTACAAATTAAACGAATATCATCGATACTGTAAGACAGACTTTTAAAGGTTGGGTATCTAAGGTAGACGACTAACTTAACTTTCATCCTTCGCCAATCCCATGGACAGTTTGTTAACGCCGCCGTAGGTCACGGACCAAATAAACCAGTAAGCCTGTAAAAAATTTCCTTCATTCACTAAACCCAAGCACAGCTCACCCCTACTCCAACTGGCAAAGAACAGAAGAAACAGACAGCGAACCCAAGCTCGGTTGGACGCCAACCATAGAGGTGAAAAATTTGACGAGTTACGCCAAAACACCGAAATATTTATCACTAAACCGGACAAAGGTTCTGGTCTCGTTCTTATGAATAAGAGTGTTTACGTGTCCAAGATCGAATCAATCCTGGCTGACGATACAAAGTTAAAAAGGGAAAGACAGAATAAGGACCAAACCGAGAGCGTAGAATCTCAACTCA